TTTTTGAATTTTCAGACGCTGATTGCATGTTTGAGTAGAAAAAGGCTAATCCACATTCAACTAATATTTAACATAATTTTATAGCATAATGAAAACATCTTCATTTATTTCTCATAAAAAAGAAATGTTACCATAAATTAACATACTACTTTGAGCATTATACCCAAGAAATCCAATAAATATGTTAAATTCATCCCTAATTGCAGTCACTTAGTAATCCATGATAAAAATAATCAATACAAAAAATATTTATTTAAAAGATTATTCACATTACTTCGTAAACTTTTCTTTCATTACACTCCGCTATTAATTTGACAACTTTCTCGTAAGTAGTTGACAGTATACAGAACATAGTAGAAAATAAGAGGAGGCAAGACAAACACGTCCATTAAAGCCATTTTTTATTCATTTGTTTCCTTTCATTACATGACTTTCCTTTATCCTTAAGTTTTTGAAATATATTCAATTTTGAAAATTTTTTTATAAAAGAGTAGTTGTTTTTTTAATGCGATTTTTACTTATGAGAGTTCACCAATGACTGTGTTTAATATTCGAAGGATAACAAAGATGCATTCATTAATTTAAAAAACAAAACCTATTTAAAAACCAATTCTTAATATTCCATAGATATTTGTTTTCGAATAAAATATTTAAAAAAAGCTAATTTTTAAATTAGATATAATACTTTAAGTCAAAGAACATTTTTTTAAACACAATTAGTACAGGTTTAAGTAAATCAAGTCGAGTTATAAGGCATCATCTAACAATGAAGTTAAATGTAAATGTGAATTTTTTCTTCTCTTTCGATTTTATTTGTGTTCAGATTCGTTCATGAATATTTACTTTGTAGTAATGTGATTATAAATAATTACTTCAGCTAATAGTTTTTTCTATAATTAACAATTTCATGGATGTAAGTCGGATAATTTTTTTTGACATATCAACTATCTTTAGTTTCTATTTTAGTGAGCAGATTAGTTATAGTAACTATAAAATTGGTCAATCTGATTAAATGTCGTCGGGATTGAAGGATTTGAATCTTTGATTGATTTCTCAGCATGACTTTGTAATGACAATTTCCTTCTTAGAAGTAATACTCTACAGTATGAATAGCTTGGTTCTATCTATCATCAATGCAAGAGAGAAAATGTCCAATCTTTGATTGCTTTCATTTCTTTTACGTTATCTATATATATAATGTTCAGTGTGTGTCTGTACCGGGTTAAGGGTTAATAGTCAAATAAGGCTATCAGAGGAAGGCGCCAAAGGCTATATGGAGATACCATAGGTCCTCATAGACTATCCTATGGAAATATCCATAGATCTTCATGGGCTATTATATGAGAGCACTCATGGATCCTAAAGGATCGTCCTATAGGGTACCCATACGCCTTGAAGGATGTAAGACAATAAAGGGATAAGGCTACAAGTGGTACTAGGGACATAAGGCTATAAGGACGTAAGGCTTCGATGTATATACATAATATCGTGTATCTGTATGTCTGTTATCGAATGAAAAGTTAAACATCGCACGAGTTCTCACTAGTGAGAAAATAATTTCAAGTTAGAGTGTAAATGTCGCTATTAATGTATGTAAATTAAAAGACGATGTTCATATACTACACTCACAACTATAACGTTGTAAAGTTCTCGCAAACTCTTAAACTATATCATAGTCTGAGATCTGTTCCACACGCATATACCCCCCAACAACCCATTCCAAAATCAAAAAAATAGAAAACAAAATATTAATATAAAAAAAGAAGCTAAATCTCAAATCTACCTCAATCAAAATCCTTATTTAATTTTTACCTTATCTTCTGTAATGTGTAGTGTATTTTTAGAATTTCATCAATTCATAATATTAATATTTTTATGAAAGACTTGTTAGTAAAATAGTATTCATTGGTCATATTCATAAAAGAAATATTGTCAACAATTGTTTTGAAGTATTTACAACTGATCGGTATATAACTTTTTCGATTAATTCACACTAGAGTCGTTTCGTTCGTACTTATACCACAGATAAAAGTCTTGTTCCTCAGTATACTCTCAGAGTTTTAGTTATAAAGAGCAAGAATTTGTTGATAAAACTGCAATATTCATTTTTCATAACTCTTGGAGATTTAGATTTTTTTCTTGAAGTCAGCTGTAAATACACTAAAGCAAGTTTTGATAATGATGAATAAAAATATCAGCCCACTATACCAAGAAGTATGTTAAGTATTTGACTAGTTATTAGAGACAAAAGCACTCTGTATAATCTTAAATTTCATTGGACGAATTCTGCCTATACTGAGTAGATTGCATATCTTATAAACATTTTAAAAAATCTAAGAGCATCTCTTTTTTTTTTTTACTTGAGGTCATTTTTGAGATTTCTTTTTGCTTCAAATTAATAAACTTGACTAAATAAATATCTGCTCTTAGAGTATTTTCATAACTTCTAGAATTTCTAGCGAGAAAAAAATGATTTTTTTTTCGATATTAGAAATTATTTACTATTATATTATTATGATAATAGTAGATTCGAATGTCATTCAGAAAATCATCGAAAAACAAACTAAATATTTTTATATCCTATAGGTTAAGAAATTCTACGAAAGAATTTGTAAGTTATATTATATCAATTCGATATTATTGTTCTTATTTTCAATATTGTTTTAACTAATATGTTTAAGTATGATAATAATTTCTTTTCGTTACTAAGAAAACAGATCTAAAAACAATTTAGAATTCGGAAAAAATCAAAAAAATTGTTTTTGATAAAACTATAACAAGTTTTCATCGATTTAATGAAAGTCTTTTTAGTCTAATGAAACTACTTAATGTATTAAGATGATATTGTATCACAAGCATCAAACATGGCTGATGAATGATAGTTTATGCTTAATTGAAAAAAGGATTTACTTTTATAAAAAAAAAGTTATACAATTAAAAGAGTAGCTTAGACATAAATCCTAATTAATGTTTTATAGAGATCGTTTCTCAACCCCTATCATGAAAAACTTAAAATGCACACGACTTTAAGCATCTTGATATTTCATTTCATCATTTTTTTTCTTCTTTCGAACATCCTATATCATACGAAAATGAGCTGAATATCGCTGAAAGAATCGTAAGATTTCCTTTTCAAATTCTAATACTAAACTAGAACATAGAAATCTCCTTAGAATTTCATGTTAAGCAGTTTTCTCTTCCTCGACATCGAAAGCATTTCCTTACGATGTGCTTTTTTTTTAAAGACTACGTTACAGAAACACTGTCTCATTTATAGTACTTTCTCGTGTATGAGCGACGAAAATCTCTTCGATAATGACGATCTCTTTTCTTTGTCGTTCATTGTAGTAATTCTTAATATTCCAGAGAAGTTATCCTGGGTACTGATTAGGATCGATATTTGTGTACTAAGCAAAGATGAACAACTACACTCTATCTCTCTCCAACTCCACATAACTCCAGTCCTATTTTCTAAGATCCTACTTCAACTTCAATTTAACTTCAATTCGAGTCGGATTTTACAAAACTGAACTTCTGCCAAAACACTCTTAAATACACATAAGTTTTTGAACATAATTAAATCTACGATTGATATAAATTAGTAGCATATTAATTTATTGCTTTATAAACTTTCTCATAAAATTCAAAGATAGGCACCTCTATTCTGTCCTTTTCCTACTCCATTTTCACTCTGATGAGAAAAAGCATCAACTTTAGAGTTGGAATTGCCCATCTCTGATATCAACCATTTCAAAATATTTACTCTTCAGATCCTCCTGAACATATCCATAACATGCGAGCTTACATAAGACTTCTCAGAACAAGTACTACATAAGGATTATAACATGATTCTCATAGAAGATACTCATTATTTTTAGATTTTCAGATTTTGACAGAGTATCTTATTTAGTCATCAAAATTCTCTTCGATGACCCTAATACAATGGTTTGAAGATGGTGTTTATCAAAAGTTAAAAATAGCATTTTAGAACACTTTCTTTTCAAAGCCCATAAAATCCATAGATTCCAATGTTTGTCACTGGAGAACTCCGTTCGGATTGACATCCATCTTTTCAGCATTTGTAAAAGAAGAAGTCCCCTCAGATTAAATAGATTCGCATGGAATCCTCTCAACTTTGTTCAGCTTCGCCTGTATCCAAACCTTCTCATGATCTTACTCAGAGTACATCACGCTTGTTCTTCGAACAGCTTCACATAACTTACCAAAAGCCTATGTAAATACTTAGGAGATTCTTCGGCAGATCTACATTCATCATACAGAAAATCATGTATCCTTAAGGTTTCCTAAAAAACATAGGGATTAGGTTTGATATTTTGTTGTTCAACGATTCGATATTCTTCTCACAAGATACAGATAGAATCTTCTCTGATGTTCATATAAATGATCATTCTGCCAAAAAGATTCTGAATTCTTGCAATTCTGAAAAAATCCTCAGATCCTTATGTTTTTCTATCAAAAACTTACACGGAATTAGTATTACTCTTTCTTGGAGAACCACCTTACAACAATCTCAAGGTGTTATTTTTATGATCAAAAAGATCTTGGCAAGAACTAGAAGTAACATAGATGTAAGAATCGTTACCAATTCCTTTTTTTCTCATAGGAAACTAAGAAAAGATTTCTGAATTTTTATCTGCGAAACGAGCATTCTCAAAGACGAATGTCGTATTTGTAGTACGTACTCCCACGAGAGACGAGATCCCTTCGACAGCGACGATTTCTTTTTTTTTTGTTCATTGTAGTAATTCCCATTATTCCAGCCGATGCCCGATGGGCACAGAATGGAGTGACTGTTACTGGAGGCAATGGAAGCGGCAGTGCCACCAATCAACTCTGGGGCCCTCATGGTCTCTTCGTTGATGATGATCAAACGATGGTCATCGCTGAGTGCTACAATCATCGTATCATCCAATGGAAGATGGGTGATACGAATGGACAAGTTGTAGCTGGTAGTAATGGCCAAGGAAATCGATTGGATCAATTGGATCGACCAACTGAGGTGTTGATCGACAAAGAGACTGATAGTCTCATTATTTGTGATCGAGGGAATCGACGAGTCGTTCGATGGTCTCGTCGTAGTGGTACAACTCAAGGAGAAATCCTCATCGACAACATCAAGTGTTGGGGATTGGCCATGGATGATCAGAGATATCTCTACATCTCTGACACCGACAAACATGAAGTAAGACGATATCAAATAGGAGACAAGAATGGAACTCTCGTGGCTGGTGGCAATGGCAATGCTACTAGTCTCAATCAACTCAACTGGCCGGCCTACATCTTTGTTGATCAACAACAGACTGTCTACGTGTCAGACGAGGAGAATCATCGTGTAATGAAATGGAATAAAGGTGCAAAAGAAGGAATTATCGTCGCTGGAGGTCAAGGCACAGGGAATGCTCTGACACAATTGTCGCATCCTCAAGGACTATTCGTCGATACATTGGGTACCATCTATGTGGCAGACTCGTGGAATCATCGAGTGATGCGTTGGCCTAAAGGAGCGAAACAGGGCACTGTCATTGTGGGTGGAAATGGTTACGGAGGAGGAGCAAATCAGTTCAACTATCCCTGGGGTTTGTCCTTCGATCGACATGGCAATCTCTATGTCATCGATCATTACAATAAGCGTGTTCAACGGTTTTCAATCAAATAGACTCGAAACGATGGATTATTTTTTTTGCGTTTCTTTCCTTTCAAATAAATCGTATTGAATTGATGAAATGAATGGCTTATTCTATTCGCGCGCGCGCGACCAGGAACCATCCTGGTGGAGCCGTGGCGAGCGTAACGCTCATGCACGCACAGGACAGACTCATATCATTCATACCCTCCCCACGAGAGATATGTCAATGAGTCTGAATAAGCCTGGTCGTGTGCCACGGACACCAAGATGATTCCTGGCCGGGCTTTTAGGGACTACCCGGAAGTCCTTCATAAGAGACGAAACCCTAACCCTCAACGAACAGAACTCACCCTCGTCTCTCACTAACACTCACTTTTCTTAGTCTCACCCTAACCTCTCAATCTCACTACCTATTCTCATCTAAAAAAAAAAAGAAAATTACTTACCGTGTCTGATGTTGATGACGCAATGATATTGATAGCTGAAAGGAATAGAAAAAAAAATTTAATCAATGTTATTTAATGAAATAGAATGAGATGACTTACCCTAATGTTATCTTTTTCTTCATTGTTTATTCCCTAAAATAAAAAAAATAATAATAAAAAGATCAAAGGAGGCCTTATCCCACCATCCTTATGATCGTAAAATAAAAAAAATAAAAAAAAAGTAAAACTAATACCTACATTTCATTTTATTGTCTGGTTTGTTGTTGAATTATTTCATATTGTTTGGTTGAAGCCAATCTAAAACAGAAAAGAAAAATGATTATTATTTGATTCAAAAATTTGAATGATTTTAAATAGAAAATCATTCGGATTTATACCTTGAAAAATCATTTTTTTCTCTCGTTGAAAATGATATACATATTTAATTATACATGTTGATCGTTGATCGCCAATGAGAACAACATGAACAATGATTTATGGACGAGAGAAAGACAAAAAAACAGAAAAGAAAATTCCTCTCTTCACATATATTTCTTTTTTCTTTCCTTTCTCTCTTGTTAACATTAACATATATAATGATTTATGAATTTTTTAGATTGTATCTCATTTGGAATGAAAATGAAATTGTTTTGTTTATTTTTATTAATGATAATCAATAACAATATTTATGTATAATTATTTTATTTGTTATGATAAAATACAAAATATATTACATCAGACGAACTATTATTTAAGCAGACATACTTAATGTCAAAAACTGTTGATTCAATTTCATAGACTGTCGAAAAAAACAAAATAATGGAAGTTTTTAAACGCTTAAATTTTTACAATAATATTCTTTTTGGATGAACATATCTAAATATCAACAAAATTTTAGATCAAAATAATTTATTACAGAAGTTTGAAAAAATCTTTCTTTGTTAGGTGGATTAATTACAACAGAAAAGAATGAAATAAGATATATTCTTCTTTTGCATAAAAATTTATTTATATCGACATATCTATTCTATACACATCAAGATCAACAAAGAAAAAAGATTAAAAAATGTACATATAATAATGTTTTTAGTGATTTGGAGAATTTTATGTTTAATGAATAATGTTGATAAATCCATATGTACAATTAATTTAACTAATAATTAAACAACAACATCGTCAGATTTCTTCATTATTATTATTTTCATCATCAACATATGATTAATAGTCCGTTACTTGATTTATTATTCAATACAACTATTAAAATGAGTATGTATTAGATGACAATATGGTTATAAAGAACAAAATATTAATATATATAATTAGTATTTAATTGGAATGGAACATAAGAGAAATCGAATGAAAATCAATATTAATTTTACAATGTTATTAAATATTATTCAAGTAAGATAATTATTCAATGAAATATATTTTACTAGTTAAAAAAAATTATAGAGTCTGTTGAGTTACTTGTGAAAATATTCTGTTGGTAATAGACTTGAACAATGTTATTATCGGAAAAGCTAAATTTACAAAAAAAATAAATATATATATATATTTTAAAATGATCTAATCTCACAGGTTCGATATTTTTTCTAAGGCTTTACTGGTCATATACTTAAGAAAAAAACTATGTATACTTTTTCTACAAACATTGTTTGATTGTTCGATACGACAGCAAAGTCTGAATATGAACTCACTTCTCAATAATCAAATAATAGTTTTGAAAAAGAAAGCATAAATTTTTTTCTACTTGTTGTTTATCAGTCGAATAAAACCATTAGAAAAAAAATATATCGAGCCTAACGAGATTTAATATCTTTGACGTATTTCAGTTTTCGTAGACTATAATGAAATTCTTCTCGTACTAAATTGTCGGACACTGTTCTTCATTTTCGAATGAACTATTTTTTTCTAATAGATTTTAGAACACTTTATGCTAAAACAATGGATGTGATTCATACATTAGATTTAAAAAAAATGAATACTCGTTGTTATACTTATCATACGGTAATTTTATTTCATTGAATAGATAATGTAAGAAAATAAAAACTATTTTCAAATAGATTCGTAAACATAAAACTCAATTAGGTAAACAATATTTTGTTGCATTATCATGATATGACCTATTCAACGTTTACTTAAATCTATATCAACAACATATATTGATTATCAATTATTAATTAATTCAGTGGATTAATCGTATTGATAATTGTCGAGTAAGAAAACGATTGCGACAGTATTAAGTATATTGTTAAATTTTAGTCAGAATTCCTTGATGCATATCGTGATTATATAGAAAAATTTTAATTTATTGAACTTTCACAGAAATTAACAATAATACAAACACATTTAATTCGTTTATTCTTTTCTTCGATTGTCTTGAACATATGTGGAAAACATTCGGTATAAAAACATATTATACTTATTCAATTAAGGGATATTCAAAGTTTATTTGATATTAATCCATTATTATTAACAATTGATGATACTATTATTGATTGTTTTTGTTTTTGTTTTTGTTTTTGTTTTTTTCTGTGGAACTCACATCTTTTCTTGAAGAAAAATAGAGTGATTGTAAGTTTTAAAGATATGTGAGACGAAAATTTGGAAGTTTGTCAGATTCGTATTCATAATATTCTCATTAGAATTTATTTCACATTTTCTCAAGGCATCTTGTTGGTGATTATTTATGAATGTGGTCATTATAGACTTTCACTTTAATAGTAGCAACTATGAGAAAAACCGGTGGTTCCAACTGCAACTGAAAGTTATAGTTAAATATTCTACGACTTTAAGCGTATAAATAAAAAGAAAAATATTGAAGACATTTTTAGATATGATAAGATTCAATTCTGGAATAGTTTTCTCTATACCAGTACCCACATCCTTTTCGAGAATCGCGAAGGAGACTCATCCAAAAGAAGTTAAGAGACTCAAAAATGAAAACATATGAAAATCATAGTAACTTTAAAAGCAAAATTGACTAAAATTCGATTTCTCTTAATTCCTCATAGTCTGGTAGAAATTTTTCATTTCAAGTATGTTGTATGAGTATAATGAGACTAAAGAATACATGTAAGTTTTACATTATAATCTTGAATGAGTTGCATTGACACAATCTCTATAAAAATTTTTCTAATTAAAGAAACTGAACAATTTGGAATACTTTGTTCAATTTATGGTCATACATGTATCTTCATCGTTATCATTGATTTCAACATCATGAAAATAATAAAACCGATGAATTTTATCGGTTAACTAAAGCAATTTTCGATTGATCAATATTTAATTGATAAAGTAACTTAAAAAGAAACTGTAATATTCAATTTTTATTTTAGCCTTCACTTATTATATGTTTAAATTTTAGTGGTCTTCATAAAGCAAAGAAACGAGTAAATGGAACTTTTTTTAATTTAGAATCTAATAAACATTTAACAAAAAAAAGAATTAATTGTTCAATTCATTTATTAGAACAGGAATGGTCGAATAGTTTCGATTCAAGTAAACAAATGAATGTATGATCAAAAGACAAGTAAGTATTTCAAATGAGAATTTTTCATAATTAAACTAAAAATATTCAGAAAATTTTGACTCATTTAACAACTGAAACGAATCGAAAATGCTTGTGCTCATAAAGTTCTGATCTACTAGTGAAACTCGTCGTAATATCTCATTTACTATCAAGTCAAAACTTTCAAACACATTATTTATTCTTTCTTGTTGTCTACCTTGTTTTATAATAACTTATGAAATAGTTCAGTGACTGAATATTCTGATTGGTGTTTTTTTTTCGTTGTTTTGACTGTAGTGATATATTAAATCATGAGAAAAAATAAACTAAATAAGAATTATTGTTAGGTTTAATAAGCGTAGCTACAAGGAAAATAAAAGTGACTTCTACTGAATTACTTTTAAAGTAATTCAAACACTAACTGTATTGAAGCTCAAATAGAAATTTGATAGATGAACAATTCAATAATCATCTCTAAAGTTATCATGATAACATAGGATACAAAAGCTTTGACACTAATTATTCCTTTATGTAGTGGTGAATTAAGCTTGCATTAATTGATGTTTGCACTAAACAAAATCAATATTTTCATCATTCATAACTTGTTTAAATTGATGATGTTTTTCTGCTATGTAAATATATAATTAGATAAGGAATTCTATAGAACTAACTTCATGCTATAAAGTTAGGTTTTGAGTTGAAAAAGAAGAAAATGAGCCAAATGAAATTTTTGTATCGATTTCAGTTTGGAGTTGTTTCAAAC